AGAGGACTGAATCTTGGGCAGCTGTGGAGGTTTCCAGACTCCTCAATCCACAAATACCAAAGACAACTTAGAAGGTCAATGGGAAAAGTCTGTTTCTGTCGGTGCTGAGAAAGGAAGGCGGGGTTTCAGCTCCATTCCCCAAGAGCGTGGCTGGGGGGGGGGGCAGCTGCTTCCCGAGCTTCCGGCCCACAGACTGAGGGGGAATCCAGTGGCTGATCAGAGAGGGATTGCAGGGATCTCTTTGCCAGTGCTGAGGCAGGAATCTCTTGCTTTGCCCGTGTGTGGATCTGTGCCACAGTTTTGGGTGGTGGTGCTGGGGTGAGGAGGAACGCTGGTGTGGTGGAGCTTGTAGTGGCTGTGGAGAGGAACCCCTCCTCACAGTTACAGGACAGAAAGGAATACTTGTGGTCACAGGCCAGGAAAGGAGTAAACACCTCGCCCCTTATCATACCACCTTGGAAGAACTGAAAATTTACAGGTCCCTACAAGTATCTCTGAAAACAGCTACAAACCCCTGAAGCTTGGGACAGTACACTCTCCACATTGGAAGCAGACTCTTACCTTAACAAAGAGTTTAAAACTCAAGTAATTGGCTGGGATCATGAGCAAGCAGCAAAAAGAGTCAGACTATATTATTACTTTGGTGAAAAAGAAGATCAAAATATACAACCAGAAGAAGACAACAAAGTCAAAGCTCCTACATCCAAAGCCTCCAAGAAAAATATGAATCAGTCCCAGGCCTTGGAAGAGCTCAAAAGGGATTTTGAGAAGCAAGTAAGGGAAGTAGAGGAAAAACTGGGAAGAGAAATGAGAGTGATGCAAGAAAATCATGAAAAACAAGTCAACAGCTTGCTAAAGGAGACCCAAAAAAATACTGAAGAAAATAACACCTTAAAAAATAGCCTAACCCAAATGGCAAAAGAGGTCCAAAAAGCCAATGAGGAGAAAAATGCCCTAAAAAGAAAAATTGGCCAAATGGAAAAGGAAGTCCAAAAGATTACTGAAGAAAATACTTCCTTAAAAATTAGAATAGAGCAATTGGAAGCTAGTGACTTTATGAGAAATCAAGACACTGTAAAACAAATCCAAAAGAAGGAAAAATTAGAAAACAATGTGAAATATCTCATTGGAAAAACAACTGACCTGGAAAATAGATCCAGGAGAGAGAATTTAAAAATTATTGGACTATCTGAAAGCCATGATCAAAAAAAGAGCCTAGACATCATCTTTCAAGAAATTATCAAGGAAAACTGCCCTGATATATTAGAACCAGAGGGCAAAATAGAAATTGAAAGAATCCACAGATCTCCTCCTAAAAGAGATCCCCAAAGGAAAACTCCTAGGAATATTGTAGCCAAATTCCAGAGTTCCCAGGTCAAGGAGAAAATATTACAAGCTGCCAGAAGGAAACAATTCAAGTACTGTGGAAACACAATCAGGATAACACAAGATTTAGCAGCTTCTACATTAAAGGACCAGGGCATGGAATATAATATTCCGAGGGCAAAGGAGATAGGATTACAACCAAGAATCACCTACCCAGCAAAACTGAGTATAATCCTTCAGGGGAAAAAATGGTCATTCAGTGAAATAGAGGACTTTCAAGCATTCTGATGAAAAGACCAGAGCTGAATAGAAAATTTGACTTTCAAATACAGGACTCAAGTGGAACATGAAGAGGTAAACAGGAAAGAGAAATCATAAGAGACTTATTAAGATTGAACTGTTTACATTCCTGCATGGAAAGATGATATTTATAACTCATGAGACTTTGTCAGTATTAGGGTAGTTGAGGAAAAAAATTATATGTATGTATAGATAGATAGATAGAGGGCACAGGGTGAGTTGAAGATTAAGGGGTCATATCTGGAGAATAAAATTAAGGGATGAGAGAGGATTATACTCAGAGAAGAAGAAAGGGAGAGGTAGAATGGGGTAAATTATCTCACAAAAAAAAAAAAAAAAGAAAGTCTCTTACAGTGGAGGGGAAAGGGGAAGGTGAGAGGGAATGAGGAATCTTGGATTTAAGGAGGGAATAACATACACATTCAATTGGGTATGGAAATCTGTCTTACCCTACAGGAAAATAGGGGGAGAAGGGGACAAGAGAGCAGGGGGATGATAGAAAGGAGGGCAGATTGGGAAAGGGTGTAATCAGAAGTAAAAACTTCTGAGGAGGGACAGGGTCAAAAGAAAGAATAGAATAAATGGGAGGGCAGGATAGAATTAAGGGAAATAGAGTTAGTTTTTCACAACATGTCTATTATGGAAGTGTTTTGCATAACTGCACATGTACAACCTATATTGAGTTGCTTGACTTTTCAATGAGGGTGGGTAGGGAGGGAGGAAGAGAGAAAATTTGAAACCTAAAGTTTTAAAAACATATGTTTAAAAAAAAGTTTTCACATGCTACTGGGAAATAAGAAATACAGGAAATGGGGTACAGAAGTCTATCCTGCTACAGGAAAATAGAAGGGGAAGGGATAAGAGAAGGGGGAGAGATAGAAGAGAGGACAGACTAGGGGAAGGGATATTCAGAATGCATGCCATCTTGGGGTGGGGGAGGGGGAGATGGGTGAAAATTTGAAACTCAAAAACTTGTGGAAGTGAATGTTGAAAACTAAAAATAAACAAATTTATGTTAAAAAAAATAAGAGAAAAACAATAATTATAGTAATAATGCTGAGCTTCCTTAGTCAAAATTTCAATAAAATTTCTGGACTTTCTCTCCCATAGATGGGAAGTAGATTCAAGAAAAAAAAACCCTCTCATTTCTGTAGTACCTTTGGATTATGAAGCACTTTACTTAGAAAAGCCTTGTGAATTATGAATATTTTATACAAGTATTTTACAGATTTTTTTTACAAATGAGGAAAGTATTTTATAGATGAGGAAACTGAGGCTGACATACTAAATTGCCAAATTCTGCCAACTCTATAACATCTTTTGCAACCATACTGTGCTCCCCATTCATGATGCATTCTAACACCCTGGGTTAGGATCTCACAACCTCTCACCAAGACTACTGTAATAGTCTTCCTCAACTCAAATCTCTCCCCTTTTTTGGGTCTGCCTTTCACAGAGCTGTCAAAATAATTTTCCATGTACATAGGTCTGATCATATCACTTTGTGTGGTCAAAACCTTTCAGTGGTTTCTCATTATCAACAGGACAAAATCGTAATCCAAACTATTTAATTTGTGAAATGCCTTAACCAAATGCCTCAACCATATTACCTTTTCAGACCCATTGAACATTCTTCTCTTTTACAAAACCATATGGTCCAGTCAAATTAGCCACTTACACTTCCTCATGCATGTCACTCCATCTGTGATACATCTCCTGCTCTTACTGTGCTCAGGCTGTCCCCTCTGCACTCCTCTACCTCTCTATCACCCTACAAAGCTCAGCTCAAGAGAATGTTCTCAATCAAGCAAGGCCTTTCTCAACCCCCTTCCCCTCAAGCTGTGAATGAAGATTCTAAACTATTTTCCTAACTAGATTTCACACTTTTTACCTTCCAGTCAAACTGGATTACTAGCTGTTCCCATATCTGAATCTATGCTCTCTCATCTCCATGCATTTACACTGGCCAACCCCTATATCTGAAACATAATCCTTCCTCATCTCTGCTGAAATCCTTCTCTTCTTTTAAGGACAAACTAAAGTGCCATCTCCTTTACAAAGCCCTCCCTGATTTTCTTGTTCCAAAATTTTTCTCAGAGCCCAATGTCTGGGTCACTCCTTTGCCACTGTTATTTCTAGACTTCTTAAGTCACCCTGGTTAGGAGACAAAGCAGAGGAGGCACGTGGCCTCATTCACTGGAGGAGTAAAAGCCCAGTATCATTGAGGGAACATTTAGGAAATAGGAATGCTGCCTCCTCCCATTGTCTGGTTCTTACCTAAACAACCATAGGTTAGTTTCTGTAGGGATAGCCGACTAGGTAATGTAATGGAGTTGTTTGTACACTAACCATATCCTCAGATTATATAAAATACTTTGATGGCTAAAATGTCATATTTCATTCTCTTTTTTCTTTTCTTAGCATTGCTGCAGTGTGTTTTTCACATAGTGAACCATTGATAAATTGGAGGGCTAGAGAATGAAGTACCAAAGCCCTCCTGAAGCCTTCCTTTGCAAAGGGCAGAAACTGGATTTTTTTTCTTTTTGGTTCACTCTACTCGGCATCTGTTGCTCTGCCTGGCTCCAACTCCAAGAAACAAGATGTCCCTTCCAGGATCAGGTCATTACTTCTAAATTCACCACCATGCTGCTAACTCAAGCCTTGATTGATATCATTATCTCCCTCAGCTTTATCTCCCTTCTGATTAGAAGGCTGATAAGTGGAGTACCAAACTCTTCCCACTGCCTTCCTTTGTAAAATGAAAAAAATGAACTTCCAGCTCACTCCACTAGTATCTACTGACTTGCCTACATTCAGCTTTAAGGAACAAGATGCTCCTTCTCCCCACTTTCTATACTCCTTCTGTGTGTTGTGTTCCCCCATTGGATTATAAACTCATTGAGGGCAGGAACTTTAAAAAAAAATTGTACCCCTAGTGTTTAGCATAGTGCCTGGCACAAACTTAATAAATATTTATTGAAAATAAATATTGTATAGTTGAATTGAAGAAACACGCCTGTGGTCACATAAACCTTTGGTGTGAGAGAGAAATAGAGTGAAATGCTTTAGATCTGATCCCCTTTTGTATTTACCCTTCAAAGTGACCCCAAAATGCACCAAAGTGCCTTCTCTTCAGAAAATTTCAAATGCTTGTGGAAGCATATGATAAATAGAAATCAAATGTTAAAGTTACTACACTACAAATTGTTGGGAGGAAATGGATTGTGTCTCACGAGCTCTTTATACCCCCATAGCATCTACTCACCATAAAGAAAATAATTCAGGAACTACTTACTGAATGAAGGAAATAATTACTCAATCTACACAATAGATGCTATTAGGAAATAGCTACCCTGGGATTTCCTGCCAAAACCCATCTCCTAACCAGTGGATTATGATTTCAAGTAGTAGGATTTTTCCAGATGTGAAGCCTAGGGAGAGCAGGCTGACTTGTAGGGAGGTGAAAAATCAGATGGTTAAAACTATACCGAAGTCCTTTACTCTCTCAAGTTGCTTCCTCTGGGGCACATCTCAGTGATCCAAGAGTGCAATGGAAAGCTACTTCCTGGTCTCCGTTGCATCTCCCCTCCCAATTTTTCCAACAGAGGTGAGTGTTCCTTTGGGTCTGAATGGAAATCCAATTTTACTAATTAAATTATATTTGAAATGAGAGTGCATTAGGGCTTGGATTAGAGTCAGCAATAAATGGGTGAATCCTTTGGTAAAACCAAGCATTGGCTTCTGATGCCAGTAATCACCCTCTCTAACTTATCTCGTTGGAAATGCATATATCAGGTTTTCTTAGCCCACTGGTTGTCATTTGATATTTAGTGAATAAGACATCACAGCTACTACCATAGTGCTTTTGTACAGGTTGTCTGACCCCTGTCAGGAATGGTTTCCCTCCTGGACTCTGCCTCTCGGGACTGTTAGCAATCTCCACAGCACCCTCTCTAAAATGCATTTCTTGATTTCACGGTTATTACTTCCCTTCCCCAATCCACCTCCCAACTCCCAAACTTTGTGCTTATTCTGTATAGAGATCTTCAGGCATGGTGGATGGAGCACAGGCCAAGGGGTCAGAAGGATCTGGGTCCACATTCTGGTTCTGACAGATAAAAGCCTGTATGATCCAGGGTAAGTCATTCAACTTCGTCCTGGCCCAATTAATTCTGTAGTTAAAATCACTGAACAAATGTAGATCTGTTATAGAAGTTTCTTTACCAGGATTTCCCTATACTGAAGAAATCAAAGGTCTTGTAAAAATAAATGAATAAATATCATACACCTCTTTATCTGTGCACATTTTGATTTTGCATCTCTTCCTGCCCACACACCCATTCCCGTCTGCCCCAGCAATTAATGCAAGCTCCTTCCAGAGAGAGTGCATCTCATGTTTGCCTTTGTATTCCTAGTGCCTAGCATAATGACTAGCCAGAGGAGGAGCTTAATAAATGTCTATTTAACCAAACTAAATCCTTAGCATTTAAAAAATACTTTTAGTGAGTGTTTTTCTGGGAAATCCTGTATGTCTTTCAGAAATCTTTGAATCTCCCATAGCAACTGACCATATCTTAGAAACTTGGTAAATATTTACTGAAAGAACGAAATCATATCTCAGTCTACACGATAAATGTAAATAGGAAATAGATATACTAGATTTCCTAACCAAAGCCCATCTCCTAAGCTGGCACATGAGCTCCTAACCAGTAGATTATGATTTCAAGTAATAAAGCATTTTCCATTTGATGCCTGGGGAAGGCAGGCCAATTTACATGGAGGCAAGGATGCAGATGGGGAGAAAAATGTTCAAACTTCTGTTACATCCAAAATAATTTTTGGCCTCTGAGCAACTCCATGGTTTCTTCTCCCTCCACCTCATATTGTTTCTAAGTACTTAGTTAGAAATAAATGTTATTGATTCTCTATAAAATAATTTTCAATGAATGCCAGTTGTAAAATTAATCATGCTGACTGAAATAGACATCAAGTTCTAAAAAGGAAAGCTCGTTTTTTTTTTCCCCCTGAAAAAGAAAAGATACTCACTGCAAGTGCTGAACTTAGAATTCTGTAGGATGGAGCTCTTAGGCAACATTTAAAAAATCTGACTGTCCCACAAAGCAGGGTCCCAATACATTCTGTCTTGTCTTGTGCTTTTAGAGACTATTATAGTCTATAGTCTATAGACCATCCCCTGCTCGTTATGAGGAAATAAACAACTCTTTCCTAAGCCCTTTCAAAACTCACAAGTCATACCATTTATTCATTCAACAGGTGTTTTTTTTTTAACCACCTGCACTGTGCTAGACACTGGTGATACAAAGACCACCTTAAGGAATTTAAATTTCATTGGGAGAAGGCAATATGTACAAAAGAAAGAAAACACAGGGGCAGTTAGGTTATGCAATAGGTAGAGTGCTGGGTCTGAAGTCAGGAAGACCTGAGTTCACTTAGGTACTCACTGGCTGTGTGACCCTTGGAAAGTCACTCAACCTCTGTTTGCCTCAGTTTCCTCATCTGTAAAATGAACTGGAGAAGGAAACCATTTCCTTTGAGGTCATGAAGAGTCACGATGAGACCAAAGCAACCAAATGACAACAACAAAGATGGAGAGCTGATAGTTGTTTTAAGAGTCAGGAAGGTCTAGTTTCAAGGTCCAGCTCTACCTTATTCTGCCAGCTTGTCACTGACCTTTCAGGATCACAGATAACTTTCCAAGACTAAATATTGCAAAGCAATTGCTCATGTGCATTGGTAGGGAGAGAGGTAGCCCCCTAGGAGTCCTTCTTCACCAACAAAATCACAGACCTGGACCCTCCCCCCACCAAAAAAAATTTATAATGAAAATTGCTTCTTCTCACCAGGCTTGGCATAAAGAATGCATTCCAGAGATAAGTATAAATAACTTCTGATCATCTGTCATGTTATATTAGCCATTCCCCTACTTTGCTTCTATAAGCACAACAATTAAGAGTAAAATGAATATGTCAATGCTGCTTTCACTTCTATAAAACTGCCAAATTGCTTCCCTGTTCTTTGAACTGTAGATTTAGTTCTCCTTCTCCTACCTACATGTTAAGTTACACAACAGTATAATGTGCAACATACTTTTTATGTTCCCTACAACGCAAAGAGTCAGAATGCAACACTAATTTGCAATATTAACATGCGTTAATTCCCCAAGTGAAGTAATTTGGACATACTAGCTTCAATTCAGGGCAGGCTTCCCTTGTGGACCTCCTGAGTATAAGCATACTGAATCATTTCAGTCCCACCCAACTCTTCATGACCCCATTTGGGGTTTTCTTGGCAGATACTGGAGTGGTTTGCCATTTCCTTCTCCAGGTCATTTTACAGATGAGGAACTGAGGCAAACAGGGCTAAGTGGCTTGTCCAGAGTCACACATTTGTTGAGTGTCTGAGGCTAGATTTGAACTTCGGAAGATGAGCCTTCCTGAAACCAGGCCCAGTACTCTACCCACTGTACCACCTAGCTGTCCCTATACCTCCTTAGCAGGTAGCATTAAAGCTAGCAAAGAATAATATCTTCTGCCCTCTGTCTTCAAAGTTAACTACACCAACCCTCCTTCAGAGTTTCACTGGTGCTGATCCTATAAACTTATACCTTAGGCTCTGCCAGTCTATCAACCCTTCCTGTATTAGCCGACTTCCCTACATTTGACTATCTACACTAGCAAAGGGCCTTCGCTCCAGCTACTCCTCACTCTCACTCACCCCACTCAGTCAATCCACTGCCCAATCTCAGTTCTCCCTCTGTGACATCTCTGGCATCAGATCAGTCCTCTCCACTCACACTGCCACCTCTAGTTCAGGCCCTCATCACCTCTCGCCTGGATTCCTGCAAAATCCTCCAAAGTAGTCCCCATGTCTCAGGGTTCTCCCCCTTCCAATCCATTCTCCACTCAGCTGCCAAAGTAATTTTCTTTGTTATGTCACACCATCCTCCCCTCCCACCCCCTTAGTAAACTCCAGTGGCTCCGTATTACCTTCAGGATCAAAGTCCTCTGCTTGACATTTAAAACTGTTCACAACCAGAATCCTTCCTACCTTTCTAGTCTTGGTATGCTTTACTCCCATCCATGTACTCCACAATTTCGATCCACTATCCTATATATTATGCCCCAAAGGTGTTCCTTCCTCACTCATAGCTCTGCATTTCCTATCTCCATGTCTTTGCCCTGGCTGTCCCTCATGCCTGGAATTCTCTTTCTCCTCACCTCTATCACTTAGCTGCCTTTAAAGACTCAGTTCAAATACCATCTCTGGCAGGAGACCTTTCCTGGTCCTTCCAGCTGTTTAGTATCTTTCCTTCCATCTATTCAGTATACATCATGTGTTTACCTAGTTAGTCATATATAATCTTCCTCATTTGAATGTGAGCTTCTTGAGAGCGGGAACTGTTTTTGCCTTTCTTTAAAAGTCCTCAGCATTTTGAAGGGAGCCTGGCATGTAATAAGTGCTTGTTCATTCAAGTCTATTTCCCTGGCTGGATCTTCTCCTCCAACCAAAGCGGTTTGCCCATTGTCTTCCAATGCATTTTCTGCCACCTGCTATGATGCTTCTGTTCTGTTGGAGGTACTGGCCTCTCATCTGACCTATCCAAATTCTACCCATCCTTTCCATCTTATGTGAAGCTTTCCCTGGCTATTCCAGTCTCAAGAGATCCTTCTCCCTTCATGTATCAGGCTGCTTATTAAAATGCTTGCACAAGACATACCGATACCACAAAAGTAGGTCTGTTGTAGCACATTTAAATATTCACTCAGCCCAAGGTGGATATAAAGGAACAGTGAGAAGAACTGGACAAGTGGCCTTACAAAGGTGACAGTGGGACTTTTCTGATAATCTGATTTTTTTTTCCCCTTGAAGGATACAGTTCCCACCTGTTTGACTATAAACCTTTATACCCCTTGGGTAGTGTGAAGAAGCATTTAATCAGCTCATACTTCTGGCAACAAAAATTAGCTAAGTTCAAAGAAAAATAGAAAATTAATTAACTAATTAGCAGCTATGAAAATGAGTTCAGGACTTTGGTGATTTGTAAAAATCACTCAATTTGTAAAACATTAAGCCAGCCTTTGGAACACAGAAACTGTAACAAATCAGTAGGGTTGGTTAGGGAAAAAAAAGTGCAAGCTTAGTAGACCTCCAAGACCAAAACTTGAGAAAAGTCAGTCTATAGTATGGATCACTATAGGTATCCTCCCTCTACCTATTTTATTAGGTTGTTCCTTGAAGAAGATAATGGTTTCTTAGGCAATTATTTTTCTGGTCTATATGCAGAAAAAGAAGACCACTTCCAGACCAATTCAGGTAGATAATGAGAAAACAAAACACTTCTATGCATGGTGCTCCAAAACTCTTGGTATGGTTTCAAGTTTTAGTGCAATTTTAAAGTCTTAAAGCTTAAAACTTTTGAGACACGCTATATAGTTGTATCATGGGGAAGCAGGAAGAGTCAAAGAAATCTATACATTTTGAAGTTGGGGAAAACTATGCGTTCGTGTGAGCACACACACACACACACACACACACAATGGCAGTTTTAGAGCGTGGACTCCTCTCTCCTGTGATTGCTTCTTGTAGGGGAAAGATGATTTTTTGTAGTTTTTCTTGCTTCTCCCTCACTATAGCTTCAGGCTCAGAAGGTATTTGCCATCCTTCATGTTCTCTTGCTGAGGCTTAGAAACTCTCCAGATCTTTCTGCCTAACCAGGAGCTTCAATGTACCCTCAGCAAGAATGGTCTAAGTGCAGGGGTGGAGAATCTGTGGCCTCAAGGCCATACGTGGCCCTGTAGGTTCTCAAGTGTGGCCCTTTGACTGAATCCAAACTTCACAGAACAAATCCCCTTAATAAAAGGATTCAGTCAAAGAATCAAAGAGCTGTACTTGAGGACCTAGAAAGCCACAAGAGGACTCAAGGTGGAAGATTCCCCACCCCTGGTCTAGTGGGACCCAGAGAAGATGGCTTTATTGTTCTTCCCTGTCTCTCTGGGGGTGCCTTATTACTGTTTGTAGCTACCATCATCTGTCCTAATAATTTCTTTGTCTTTTCTTTGTGATTGAGGCAGAGAGATGGCACAATAGATAAGGGGCTGGATTGAAAAATCTTCAAAAGTTCAAATCCTGGTTCAGACACTTACTCAGCTGTGAGACCCTGGGGCAAGTCATAATCTCTCTCAGCCTCAGTTTCCTTATCTATAAAAAGGTTTTAATATTAGTACCTTCCTTAGGGATTGTTGTAAGATTCAAAGGAAATTACATATGTTACTTCTAGCATGCCTTAAAGCACAATACAAATGCAAGCTATTACTATTGTTATTGTTCTCATAAATGTTAGGCTTATCATCTCCTGTTGATTAGTTTTGCTTAATTTTTTCTTTCATTTTTATTATAAAGGGCAGCTCCCTGGGAGGGGGTTAGGGGAGTCTTGGAATATTTTGGTTGATTCCCATCTCATGCTCTTTCTACATTACCATTCTGTTAATTCTATACATGAGCAATGGTCACACAGAAGATTAATAAGAATTTTTAAAAAGTGAATACATCAAGTCATAAGAGATTTGCAGTTGCATGTGCAATCATCTTTTTTTAAAAAATTATACTATGTTAAGGAAATACTTGTTTTATTCCATAAATTAAAAATAAAAAAAGTGAACAGGTCATTGTATTTGATACAGAATCCTCCTAGTCTGAGTCTCCATGCTCAACAGGATTTCCCATTACTGTGGTCCCAACACACACTTCTCTTGGAGACTGCCTAGTTTCAGCACACTCAGCAGTTGTTTACTGCGGCACGAGGGTGCTTCCATGTATCAGGGTCTCTATTTTTAGTCAGAGGCCATTACTTTTGTAACTTAAAGATCTAATAGGCATTAATCTATTTTTAGTCAGAGGCCATTACTTTTGTAACTTAAAGATCTAATAGGCATTAATCTATTCTTGGCCTCCCCATAGGAAGAAGTTAGGTCAGAGCAAAAGAAATGTGCAGGTGCAAAGGAGACCCTATCCCAATTTACCCAACTGATAACTCTTTTGTAATGGACTGTTTCCAAAGGAGGAGCATGTCCCATGGGGTAAAAAAAACATCATTGTGATCTTCCTTGGGTTTAGGTGTAACACTTTCTTGGAACTCATCTGATAATGCCTCGGGGTCTCTACCAAGCTCACAGCTACCTCAACCTCAAGGGCTCATTCCCAGCTTTTGATTGCCAGAGACCTAAAATCCCTCATGTGAATGATTACCCTGTTCTGACAATGTTCTTCCTGTGAAGGCAAGCAGTTAAAGAGAGTCACCAAACTTTAACAACAAAACAAAACCTCCTAAAATTCTTCAAAGCAGAAATCTCCCAGTGATTGAGAAGATAAGTCTAATTATTCATTTGGGAATCAAGGGTGCTATTTCTCAAACCCCCATATCACAGTATCCCAGAATTGGAAGGGACCTAATTTAATTCAGTTTATAGATGAGGAAACTGAGGTACAGAGAGGTTGAATGGCTTGGCCATTCTCACAGAGCTATTTACTGGTCTCCTGATTATAAGCCTAATCTCCTTTCACAATCTAATACATCACCTTCTCCTAGCCAGAACACTTAACAAAATGAGATGTTTTTGTCAAAAGAAAAAAAAAAGCTTTTCCAATGAGCTCAATATTTAGCTGCAGCCCATGATGGTGTGGGGGCAGGACACAAGTGACTCCATCTAACACATATCTCACATGCAACACAGAGTCTGAAATAAGGTTTCCCTATATATAATGTACATAGCACAGAAAAAAGATTTCCCAAAGTCACCTTGTCTAATGATAAGCCTAGTGAGGAATCATGCCACAGTGGAACTGAGAGAGATCTGAGTTTGAATGTTGGGCTCTGATACTGAGTACTTGTGCAATCTTGGACAAATCATTTAACCTCTCTAACAGGAAAACAGAAACAGGACAGTAAACTGAGCTTTCAAGGTTGCTGTAAGGAAGCCATTATAAACTTTGGAGAGCTATGGAAATGTGGGCTATTCATATTAAGAGATCTGAATTCCAACCCTGGCTCTTACACCTTACTAGCTGTGTGACTGGAAAAATCAATTAACCTCTCTGGTCCTGTTTTCTTCCTCCATCAAGTGTGGGAGACAGCTGTGGTGTATTCTAGATCATGGGATCATAGATTTAGGGTTAGAAGAGACCATCTAATTCCTTCACTTTACAAATGAGGAAACAGTACCATTAAAGTGATGTGACTTCCTCATGTTCATACAGGTAATAAGCATCACGGCTGGGATTTAAATCAAGACCCTCTGACGAGGAATACAATTCTCTTTCCTTTTCACCCTGAGGCCTCACTCTTTAATAAATTAGGTAGCTCAGTGGATAGAACACCAGACGCAGAGTCAGGAAGACCTGAGTGCAAATCCTGCCTCAGATTCATACTAGTTGTATGACCCTGGGTAAGTAATTTAAACTCCACATGCCTCAGTTTCTCCAACTGTATAATGGGGCTAATAATGACACTACCTCACAGGGTTGTCGTGAGGCTCCAAATAAAATAATATTTGTAAAGCGTTTTGCAAACCTTAAGTCACCATATACATGTTGTTATTAGGTAATAACAGTAATAATCATAATCATAACCATAATACTCAATGAAGAAGAAGCTAGGGCAGAAAATTCTCAAAAGCCTACCCATAGATGTCAAGGACACCAATGAAGGAATGCTGCTTGAGGTTGGTGTGCAGAGCCTTATTGACGTGCTCCACGATCCAGTTGAACATCTGGGCATAGATGTGTTTAGCCAGGGCATTCCTGGCATTGACCACCTGCTGCAGGGACATGGTCTTGATGTAGGTCTCAGAGGTGGTCACCAGTTTTCGGTGGCACAGCCAATGTTGCATCTGACTGTGCTCAACCCCCAGCAACTTACAAAAATTCCTGAGGTGTTCATCCTGGGGCTGAAACAGAGAGATGGAGTAACTTAGTGGAAGAGTAATGAGTTACATTCCCATGCCACCCACACCCACCCACACATACACCCCTCACCCACCTCATGCAATACATATTTTCATCTATGTCTCAGTCACCCCCAGAGAAGGTGTCAAGAATGACCAAATAAGCCTTGCCCTCTTTAGCATTATAGAATTCTATTTACACCCATAAATGTTAGTTCCTACACCTGTAGTTTCTTGCATAAGCTACACAGTGATATAATTTGGAACCAGATGGGTGCCATAGGAATGATCATTACACTTGCTAATAACCAAATTGTTACAGCTTTAAAAATCACCCTTGGCATTCTCTGGTGCTGCTGGTTTCCTCATCTGTCACTGGCTGCCACCAGCTAATTGGCAGGGAGGGATACAGGACTGAAGGAAATAGAATGAGGAGTGACATTTTGAGAGATTGTAAGCCATTAAAGTGAAAGTGGGTGCAGTGAACAACACTCAGGGTGAAGGAGGGCAATGCTAGAGGGTTCACAAGCTAGGCTTACTGATTCTTATACCCAGGACTTAGCTTGGGTCTTAAAAGGGAAACCTGACTTCATCTTCTTACTTGAGACTCCTAACCTAAGATCAGGAGTGAGAAGAACTAGGTTCTAATTCTGGTTCTGCTACTCACATGATGGGGCATTGAACAAAGACATTGCCCTTCTCTAGGCCTCAGTTTCCTCATCTGTAAAATGAGGGGTTTGGACTAGGTCACAAGAACAAAGATCCAAAGCTAGGAGGGCCTTTGGGTGCCATCAACCCCTGTCTAGAGCACCTTCCAGCTCAAACTCTATGGTGCCATTAATATTAACCACACCTGGGAAGGTTTCCAAACTAGCACCAGAAAAGGGTCAGGATTATGCTCGATTTGTTAACGTTCTGAAAGCACTCAACTCTATTGGGAGTATAAAAAAAAACCCAATTCAATAAAGCTGCAAAGCTCTGTTATTGTCAAGTCAAAAGCAAAGATTGGGAACTAACTTTTGAATTAGCATGGTATGGCTCTGATGTAGTGGCCAGAGCACTGGATTGGGAGTTAGAGGGGCCCTGCTCTGTTCCCTGCTACCAGCAGGATATTGTTTAAGTCACTTCAATTCAGCTGTAAAATGAAGAGGTTGCACTGGTCTGTCTTTAAGGTCCCTTCCAGCTTTAAATTCCATGGGGCTATGAAGCCACTCAGAACACCTTACCCAAAGATCACAGAACTGGAAGGGAGTGTTTGGGCTCTTTTAGCTTAAATCCTTCATTTTACAGATGAAGAAAATGAGGTTCAGAAAAGAGGAAGAATAAATCTAAGGTCATAGAGGCAGTCAGTGGTACACTGGAATTAGATATTAACTTTTACTGTTATTATTACTGTTATTATCTGCAGCCCCTTGGGGGTGTTGCAGGAAAGTGCTTTAGTGGGAATTGCCTCCAGACCTTCACTCAGAAACCCAGGAAGCCTCCCTTCCCAAGATCCCCTTTTCAGGGGTAGAATGTAAGCTATTCAGTCATTTCAGTCATGTCTGCCTCTTCATGACCCCATTTGAGGTTTTCTTGGTAAAGGTACCAGAGTGGCTTGCCATTTCCTTCTCCAGCTCATTTTACAGATCAGGAAACTAAGGCAAACAAGGCTAAGTGACTTACCCAGGGTCACATAGCTAGTGTCTGAGGCCAGATTTGAACACAGCTCTTTCTGACTCCAGGCCAGGTTATCTATCCACTGCACTATCTAGCTGCCCAGTAGGTAAACTACCTAAGGGCAAACACTGTTTCCTTGTATCTTTCTCTTTCAAGGGGTGCTCAAGAGCTCTGGCTTGGGAGTCAAGAAGACTCAAGCTCAAATTCCACCTCTGGTCCTCACTACCAGTGAAACCTTCTACAAGTCACTTAACCTCCTTGGCCTCACTTTCCTCAATTACAAAATGAGGAGAGGGATGACTAGATAATTTCTTGGGCCCATCTCTTCCTGCTCTAGGTCTATGACCCAGTATCCTAAATGAGATCAATAAAATCAATCAATAAACATTTATTAGGTGCCTACTATGAGACCAGTACTGAGATCAATAAAACTGCCTGAATTCAAGTTCCCGGCTTCTGTGTTCAAATGTCCATATGGAAAAGTTCAACTAAATGCAAAGATTCTTCTGCTTAATGGAGATCAGTATGTAGGTCCTACAAGAAAACCCATGTGTCTCCTTCAGTATGTATTCCCTTCCTAAGAATTAGCTCATTCTGTGAGATGCCTCTCTCATTGTCTGGGTCATTCTTCATTCTCTTGCCTATGTCCACCTGGGGAAGCTGATAACCCGGCAGAGAGCCTGTTAGAAAGCTCATTAACTCTAAGGATGAAATGAAATCTGTCAGAACAAGATGTGCCACCACATAATGGCTCCAAATTGCTCGTGGGACAAGTCTCTGATGAGGCTGCCTTGTAAGACTTAAATGAGAGCGTGTTCTGTGAAAATGAACACTGGCAACCAAGCTACTTTCCTCCTTAAGTCTAGCTCCCTGAGGCAGCCCATTTCTGCAGAGTGATGTAGTTGAAAGAGTGTTTGATTCAGAGTCAGAGAACCTGGGTTCAAATTTTGACAGTATCATTATTTGTGTGATCTTGAAAAATCTTTGGTTTCTTTTCCTGCAAGAGGGGAGTAATTAAACCCATACTACAATACTTCACACAATTTTGGTTAATCAGTAAGCATTTGTTAAGTGCCTACTATGTGCCAGGCACTGTGCTACAGTGCTGGGGATTTAAAATAAAGGCAAAAGGCAGTATAAATTCTAGAGAGCATGAGACAGTTGTAATTAACAAGGTGCAAAGTATATATGGACCTCAGTTTTCTCATTTGTAAAATGATGGGTTTGGGAGAGAGGGAATAAGCATTTGTATAGCACTTACTAGGTGCCAAACACTGCGTGATGCACTTTTTACAAATATTATCTCATTTGTTCCTCATAACAACCCTGCAAGGTGGGTGCTGTTATTATACCCATTTTAAGTTGAAGAAATTGAGGCAAACAGTAACTTGCCCAAGATCACACAACTAGTAAGTGTATGAGGTCAGATCTGAACTCAGTAAGATGAGTCTTCCTGACTCTAGGCCCCGAGTTCTATCCACTGTGCCACTTAGGCTTGGAGATAATGATCTTGAAGGTCCTTCTTGCTCTAAAATTCTATAATGCTAAAGTTTACATTTATATAGCATTTTAACTTTAACAAAATATTTTCTTAACAACTCTTCCCAGCCCTGCCACACACTGCCCTCTCTCCCCCAGCTGCTAATACATAATGGATAAATAAAGGTCACCTGAAAAGGAAAGGAAAACATCAACAGAAGGGGTCGAAGTGGAGGGCACTGGGAAAGGTCTTGAGGAAAATATGATAAACTTTAAAATAAGCTATCATAAGACACTAGCACTAAAAGGAGCCTTCAAGAATATCTCTTCTGAATCCTTCATTTTACAGATGAGGAAATTGAGGCCCAGTCAAGGTTGGTGAGTTGCCTGAGGTCACTTGTCCAAGATCAGTTGGAAAGTGGAAAGCTGAACCAAGATTAAAGGCTAGGTTTCCTGATCACCAGCTGGAGTCTTTCCTCTGTGTCTATATAGCAATAGCATTTCTTGGATTGGCTAGTTGTCCAGACATGCTGGATATTTGTTTGGTTTTTATACTTGCTCAGCAATGTGGGTTCATAAAATGTTCCTGTCCTACCTAGGTGGGCACCCCTGACCCAAAGCCATCCATCTTCACATAAAGGGACCAGAGGGTTCCTGGCAGGCTTCGAGCTGGAAAGCCTCCCACTGGCTGATGCTGACTGGCTCCCAAGAACTGCTTAAAGACAAGGTCTTAGCACCATGGCTAGATCCCCTGATGTTCAAATGTACTCCTGGCAACAGTGTCTGCCCAAGTATCCTCTGCTTACTTTCTCACTGAGGCTGGCAAAATGTGAGTTTAATGAGGTGCCAGGCAGAGAGGACTCTGAGAAAGGCAACTACTATAGGCATCCAAGAGCCTAGTCATACAACATCAGAGGAGCACAGAAAAGAAGAAAGCTAGATGTGCTCCTTGGGAGAACCCAGTCCAGATGAAGGTATTACTGCTTCCGGAACAGGATAAATGGAGCATATGTGATCTCTCATGCCCTTCTGACTACTGATTAAAAGTGATAACAGGCTGATTTAGCATCATGCAATTACATTTAAGCTTAATTAAATGATGCTAAATCCATTAAAATCTCTTCATTGTGGGGAACAGATGAGTTTTATGGGTCCAGGTTGCCAAGTATAGGAAGCAAATTGCCTCTGGTGTCCAAGTTATTGTATGTTGCAGCATCTCCAAGGCAACAGTGGCAGTTGCAGAGCACATTTTCATGTTTTAATTAAAAATAAAAACTGCCCAGCGTGGGATGTTCTGCTCACTATGGGGAAGCCTGTCCAGAAGAGCCACCTACATTTGTCTTGTAGCAATAAATCAAAACCGGGTCTTTCTGCTGACAGGGATGTAGAGGAGGAATTAGGAGACCTGGAATCAGGTTCTGACCACTTCACGATCACGAGGCATTGTGGGTATCCCTTTTTTCTCTGGTCTTCTTCATTAACCTTGACTTCCTACCATTTAGAACTTCTTTCAGTCTGATCTTCACTTTTATCACCAAAATGCCCTAGGGGGCATCATCTGTCATTCCTTTGAATCTCTCCAACCCAAGAGTTTCCCAGTGAAAAGTCTCCCAGCTATTAGAGCTTTGAAATACTAAGACTTTTGGGACATCCTATATAGCACCATGGAGATTTCAAAAGCATTTTCTTTGCAGCACCTCTGTGAAGTGGATAGTGCAAGTATTGTGGACCCCACTTTACAGATGAGAACTATGAAATTTAATCATTTAATTATAGTAGGATCAAATTACTTAGAGTTACATAAACAGCAAGAGCCAGATCCTAGATTTGCAACCATATCTCCTAACTCCAAGTCCAGCATTCTTTTTTTTTTTTTGTGAGGGCAATTGAGATTAACTGACTTGCCCAGAGTCACACAGCTAGTAGTCACACAGCTAGTAAGTTATGTGCCTGAGTCAGGATTTGAACTCAGGTACTCCTGACTCTAGGGCTGGTGCTCTATGTACTGCACCACCTAGCTGCCTCTAAGTCCAGCATTCTTTTGATGAAACTATGCTGTTTCCCATTAATTACTGGCTGAACTGAAAAATCACCTAGTTAAGATACACAGAAAAAAGCTCAGTTCATTTTTCTACAATTCTATTGACTTTCCCTAGAGTTTAGAGTTCACCAGATAAACTGTAACCTTCTTGGATCCAGGACTATGCCTTATATTTCTGTATATGCCATTGAACATAGCAAAGGATTAAATCCAGGATAGGCTTATGTTACATCACTGAACATGGTGGCTGGCATCTAGTGAGTGCTTAATACACGCTTACTGATCAAATGACTGATTAAAAGTAGCCAACTGGTTGGTTGATTTTCCCAAGTTTCTCTTAAGGTACTAAAAGGTGATGTCAGTCATCCAACCAGTAATGTATAGAGCATAAGGGCTTAACAAGGCATTGTGTTAGCATTGCCTTATGATAATATAAGACATCATCCTTGCTACATGCCCTCAAGAAGTCTGTAATCTAGTTGGGGAATTAGTTAGATACACAGTAATGAAAACATGTGCTGATGAATGTAGTCCTCAGGTGTGCTATTACAGAGACTAGCTCTTTAACTACAACAATCTGATCTGGCCTTACTATAGGTATCTCTTGCTTCAAACTTCTACTTGTCTATATAGCTGCTCTCATGTATGTGTTTTGTCTCTCTAACTAGATAAAAACAAATCCTTGAAGGCAGAGACCAGGAATGGTATCTGCTATTTTTCATCCCCACGATGGAATGTCTAACGGGGTAAAGAACCTGTGGACTTGAGGCCACCCATGGCCCTCTAGGTCCTCAAGTGCGGCCCTTTGACTGAATTCAAACTTCACAGGACAAATCACAAAGCCTTTTCTGGTGACAGCATTTCATAGGGTACAATGTGCCTGGAGGCACTTGATAATATCCATAGGTACACATCAAACACCCAGCCCTGACCTGGTTTTGGTGGGGATATTACAAATCTAAGACCACCTGGTCTCTTCCCTTAGGGAGAGGAGTCAGTTGACTTATCAGTTCTATTGCAGAAAGGACATGGAATGAAAAGGAATTAGTCCCTTTTGAAAGGCATCATCACCCAGTAAATCACATCAGTTGTCCAAGTGCAGGCTAAGAAAACATTATGATTAGAAATAAATAACCCCTCATATTTTTGGAGTGGAGAGCAGTACATAAATGATATAAATCTATAAAACCACACAGTAAATAGTAAGGATTCTTTCATTAGCATGGTCATACAACTCACTGATATGCTACAGGAATCTCCATCGCGTTCAGCTTGAATCTCCACATTTCCAAGGTGCAGGATAGAAGCAATTACCTTAAAAATACTTATCTGATGGGACTCTCTCACTCCTAAAAGGTAAAGGATAAGAAATGAATTATTCCCAATTTCCATGGCAGGACAGAAAGTGAGATTTAGCTGTCGAGAGAGAGAGAGAGAGAGAGAGAGAGAGAGAGAGAGAGAGAGAGAGAGAGAGAGAGAGAGAGAGAGAGAGAGAGTGAGTGCATGTGAGTGTGTGTGTGTGTGTGTGTGTGTGTGTGTGTGAGATTTTCGTTCAGAGCCAACAATTTTGCAGACAATCTAGAGGACCCTCAACAAGTAATCACCATTCAAAGGAAAAGCACTGAGTGAAAGGGGTCCTGGGCTGAACTATTAACTCCTCACCCAGAACCACCTGGGTCAGATTGGCTAGGTCAGGGTAGCATTATAACTTGTTTGGCAGCAAAACAGAGGTGGCCATCACACAGACTCATCTCGGACTTCATTTCAAGCAAACGTTTTGAGGACATTTTTATGGTTCCATAAGGAGAGGTAATTTATCTGTAATAATCGTTCTCCAAATATAATCTCCTGCAAACATCTGTGACACATCTAAAGGGCTATCAGGGGAAAGCAAGGAAGACTCTTCAGGGGATTGTTATGATAAGGGCTGTGATGGCAAGCCAGTTATAAGCACCGCCCCCATCTCTCCCCTTCACAAACTGTTCCTTGCTAAACCACACCTACCAGAAACACACCTTAAACATAGCTCATATGCATCTTTCTCTGAATCTCTATAGATATAAATACACACAGTTAAATTTCAATTTTCCAGGAGAATGCAGGGCCACTAGATATGAATAATGGGAAAAACACATTTGTAGTTTTTATAATGGAATATTTTTTAAGGCATTAAAGCCCGTGCTTTACTTAAGCTAGTAGGAGAGTGAGTTTGTATTCCCTGCATGTAGGCTGGGAGACAAGAGAAAGCCAGCTTGTATTGAAAAAAGTGTCACAGATCACTCAGGAAGTGAATAATGCACATCCACTCACACAAGCAATCACAATATAGTTTTGATTAATACTGATGGCCCCTTCCCCCAACCCTCATCCCTCAAATGACTCAGGGACCAAATGCATATGACATAAATGTATACATATATTCAACCAACTGGTCAAAGGAAAGCAAGGTAAAACACCACTGCTATGTCTGGTTAGGCATGAAGATAAGTGTGCCCTACCCCCTCCCCAGGAAGCAAAACCCTGACCTCTATTTACCTGTAAAATAAAACTTAGAACTTCCTTGGTCTTGTATGTGTCCCCAGTATGCCCAAAGCAGCAGAGGAGAGGAGGCCATGGGGCTTGAGAGTATCCATTTAACTGGGGCCTTTCAATGTTTTCCTTTTTCTTTCTCTCTAATTCATTGTAAAGTAAGTACCCACTGCTTTGATAGACCCCTAACATGACTTGACTGCTTTACTGAGGTTGTCTCAGAAAGACAGAAATGGGATTATGAGCCAACAATGTGGCATCATTACTGAAAACAAATTCAGGCTGCATTAGGAATAGTAGACTAGTCCATTTACAGAGAGTGAAAATCCCACTGTTCCATATTGGTCAGGACAAGTTGGAGCTATGTATCCAGCCCTGGGAGAAACACTTCAAAAGGGACACTGAAAGATGAGAAAATATTCAGAAAAGGGTGAGTAGATGATGATGAGGGTCCTGGAAACCAGATGATATAATATTTTTTTAAAGGAAGCTGGGATATTTACTTCAAAAAAAAAACAAAAAACAAAATTTAGGTAAGGAAAGGAGAGCTGTCTCGGTATAGTTAAAAGGCTTTGATGCAGAAGAAGAGGTTTATATGTTCTGATGTGGCCCCAAAGAATATAACCAGGGCCAATGGGTGAAAGGTATATAGGAAGGCAGATTTTAACTCAATATAAGAATATTTTAACGACTATGGTGGTTCAAAAATAGAATAGGTTTCCTTTCTTTTTTTCTTGTAGGAGGCAATCAGAGTTAAGTCACTTGCCTAGGGTCACACCACTAATAAGTGTCTGAGGCCTGATTTGAACTCAGGTCCTCTTGACTCCAGGGCCGGTGCTCTATCCATTGTGCCACCTAGCTGCCCCAGATACATTTCTTTTTAGTGTAGTGTGGCAGTCACCCACCTCTGCCAGAGGATGGTAGAGATTCTTGTACTGGCTGAGAAATGGGATTATATGGTATTGCAGGCCTAGAGTTATATGATTTTTTGATCTCTAAGTTTCTCCTGAATGTAGAAGTCTATAACAAATTCCTTGGATAAGGGGAAAAAAAGGAAAAGAATAAAAAATTGGGCATATTCAATGTACTGTAAGCGTCTCCTGACTCTTGTGTGTATACCTTCTCCACTGGTGCAGACCTCAATCCAACTGCACTTCCTCATCGTGTGGGATTCTTGTCCATTGCTTTGTGAACATCTCTGCAGGATCCACCCAGTGACCTGGAGCCTGTGCTCTAGTTCTTTCATTTTACAGTGTACAGTTCAGAGGTATGTGGTGTTTTTTTTTTAAGGCAATTGGGGTTAAGTGACTTGCCCAGGGTCACACAGCTAGTAAGTGTCAAGTGCTTGGTCTGAGGCCAGATTTGAACTCAGGTCCTCCTGACTCCAGGGCTGGTGATCTATCTGCTGTGCCACCTAGCTGCCCCAGAGGCCATGATATCAAAACCCAACTCTACTACTTCCAAAACGTGACCTTGGACAAATCATTTGTACAATTTGGGTTTTGTAAAAGGTTCACTAAAGAATGGTGTCCCTAGAGTCATAGTACAGTTTTAAGCTATTAAAGCCAAGAATTGCATTAAGATTTTAGTATATATGTTATATATGTATATATAACTGGAAATTGCAGGCATGCCCTTCAATTGGGGAATGGCTGAACAAGTTGTGGTATATGATTGTAATGGAAGTCTACCGTGCTGTAAGAAATGATAAGCAGGTTGATTTTAGAAAAATACAGAAAAACTTACATGAAATAATGAAGATCAAAATGAGCAGAACCAAGAGAACATCATATACAGTAACAGCAATATGGTTTTAAGAATTACTTTGAGCAAATAATTTATTTTGTCTATTGTAAGTACTAAAATTAGCTATAAAGGACAAAGGATAAAGAAAGACACCATCTGCATCGAGAGGAAGAATTGACAAATAGAAGTACGCATAGAATAATTTCACATATATACATAGTATATATGTATACACACACACACACACACACACACACACACACACACATATTTTGTATCTAATGGTAGCCTTCTCCAGAAGAAAAAGAGAAAAGCTTACATAATTTGTTGTATATTTGAAGGGAATAGCAAGTTGTGAATGGTGGATTTGTAGTTTCATATACAATCATCTTTTTTATCATACTACATTAAGAAAATGCTTGTTTTATTCCATAAATTAAATATAAAACTAAAAAATTTTTTGGTACATCCAACATTTTAGTTACCATTCACTGAGGTCTTTCAGCAAGAGTCCAGTTCTAAAGCTCTACACTAGATTTAATCATCTTCTAAGGAATGATGCCTCCCCAAGTACTGGCTCATACTTTCTGCTCAGCATGACTGCTACAAAGACAATTTTAAAAGGCCTTGTCTCTTTTCTTATGAGCAGAAGGTAATGCTAGGGGCCAGTCATGTTGTGTGCCATTCATAGCCTTCCAACCTATGCCCTCTTCCCTGCATCCCTTGGATAAAAGGGCATAAGATGGGAGCCCTGGGGTGGGGGTGGGGGGACAGAAGGATTGCAGAGGCAGACATGAGGGAAAGAGAACAAGTTAAATTTCTCCTTTAGCTACTGGGAAAACTGAACAGTATCTATGGACTTCTGCAGCTGAGATTCTAACGTTCCTCTCTCCTTACAGAGGGATCTGCTTGTTGTGTAACATCTGGACCTAACTCCAAGCTAAAAAAAAATGCCAACCTGGACCGTTCAGTCCAATCCATCATCCTTTCTTCAACAGCTACATTTTGGGGATAAACATGCTAGCTTCTTACCTTCCAAGGTTCAGAAGTACATTTAAACATCCTCAACTTCCCTACTGGGGATCAACTATGGACAAATTTAATTGAAGCTCTTAATGAATCGCGCCCCACGTTTTGGCCAAGGCAACTTCTTGGTTGTAGGAGATTTCCAGAAGTATTTTTGTTCCCACTGAATTGAAGTGAAAATTTGTCCTGTCTTTTAATTACAATAAAATTAAATCATAATGAAGATTGCTTACATGATTGCAATTAAGAATTTAAAAGCCATAGCAATAACAGAGTAGGATATCATTTCCTGGCCCTCGCAGAACTGCACATGGAACTGCAAAGAGGTGAAGACCATATTCTAGAAACACCTATCTTATAAGGTCAAGAGAAAGCCTGTCAAAGCAATAAAGGGTCAATAAGAATTAGGAAGTAATGGAATTTTAAAGTTAGAAAAGGCCCTAATGTTCATTTTACAATGTAGCCTAGAGTAATGGATAGACAGAGTGCTGAAGTTGGAGTCAAGAAGACCTGACTTTCAATCTTGCTTCTGAAACTTACTTCTCTGGGCCTCAGTTTCCTCATCTGTAAAATGAGAATAATAATATCACCTCACAAGATTGTTGTGATAATCAAGTGGGATAATATATGTAAGGTACTATAAAAATGTTAGCTATTATAATTGCTATTACTATAACCATACAGTCCTTGAAGAAAGAAATGGCAAACTCCTGTAGTATCTTTTCCAAGAAAACCCCAAAAGGGATCACAGAGAGTAGGACATAACTGAAATTACACAACAACAACAAATGCAGTCCAACTTTCTTGTTTTATATAAGAGAAATTTGCTGTCCGCAGAAGGGAAATCACTTGTGAATGGCAAAGCTAGGAGAAGAATAAGGGGATCCATGATCTTAGTCTTCAAATGGCTGAGGAGCTGGCCTGTGGAAGAGGTGTTAGCATTAGTCTGTTTGCCTCCAAAAGGCAGAACAAGGACCAATGGGTGGAAGTCACAGAGAGGCTGATTTTTGTTCAGCGTAAAGGAATGCATTTAAACAATCAGGAGGCATGCCAACAATGAAACAAGGCAGATTCATAAAACAAGGAGGGAGCTCTCCATCACTGAGAGTACTGAAGCAGAGTCTGGATAACAATCTGTTAAGGGCTATTCTAGGAGGATTTCCTTCACCCTCCTAGCTGAAAGTTTGGACTTGTTAACTCTAAAGGTCTCTACCATCTCAAAGATTCTCTGTGATTCCAAATTCTGGGTCTCTCAAGAATTAGTCAAGAGTTTTTTCCACTGTGCTGCTTCCAAACCCATGCTTTGATGATGAGAGGCAGAATATTAATCAATCTAACTCAAGATTTGTTTTACACTTGAGGGAATGAGAAGCTAATGTTTCTGAGTGACTACAAGAAGCCCTGAACTTTTCTGTCTCAGTAAGTAGAGGCTGCATCCTAGAAACCCTAGAATCTTTTCAAATCTAGGAAGGAAAAGGACATCCCCTCCCCCAAGATTTTCTCCCCAAAGATGTTTTATAAGACACTCTCCTCCTCTAATAATCTTGCTTCCCTTACCACCCCTCCCTCCAAAAAAAAAAACCAAACCCTTACCAAGAAGAGTGAAGGCTTGTCTGGTTTTCTCAAAGTCTTCTGCATCATCAACACCTTCAATAGAAGTGTCTCTTCCTTGAGAAACATAGAAAAAGTCCTCAGCACATGCTGTTGTGGGGGGTGGGAGGGAGAGAAAGTATAAAAGTTGTGTCAGGAAAATGTCATTCTCACATGCAGTTTTCATGTTACAATCCAACAGCATCTCTCCTCTTTTTACATCTTACTCCAAGAATTTTGTTTCCATTACTAGCAGGCACAAGAATCACAAAGTTCAGATGACTTCTGATTCATACACATTGAAAGAATGGGGAGAGGACTAGATAATACAAAATAGCAAATAACATCTTGTACCAATTGAAAGTAGTAGTTTTAAGCAAATATGAGCCATGAAGACATGGATTATAATAAAAAATAAGACTGTGACTTTTCTCTTTACAGAAGTCAGAAATGATGATAATGATGTTTTATTCTTATTTTTATATTTCTGAGTTCAGAAAGAAATGGCCCTAAGATGAGTTATTTCAAATCCTTTAGATTCCGAGTCCATGGCTCTATCCACTATGTCATACTGCTACTGATTGAGTTATAGTAGAGGTTTTTATCTCTCCATGTGCTGTATTCCAATGTCAGACTCTAGATGGAAAAAGAATCAGAGGAGATGGAAGGGGAAGAGATGAAAAACAGGACAGAGAAGAAAAGAGGGCAACAGGGAGAGAAAAGAAGGGGGAGAAAGGGAAAAATACAAAAAAAAAAGAGGGCATCTTTATATTCCAGATAAACATTCGGGATATTTAATGTGAAAGGATGTTCATTTTCTAAATTTGATACATGTACAAATATATTTCGTATTGAAGTTTTATGTCAACAAGGAAAATGGTATCACACTGGCCTCACTGGATGTCAATTACTAAATATTTACAATGAATAAGAAACTATAATCCCCTTCAATAACTCCTTCCATTAACTGAATTTTAGTTTCTAATCTTAGAAAAATCTTTGAGTCTTCCCTCTCTCATAACCCCCTTCTGCAAGTACTTTCCAAGTCTCATCACCTCTACCACCATCATAACTCTAGCATCTGCCCCCTCCACCATTCACAAGGTCGACACTTTAATTCAGGCCTTCTATTCCTTATCTCCTTTATGAGCAGGCACCTGATTTATGTTGATTTTTTTTTCTCCTCTCACTTAGACAATTGCAGCAACCTTCTTATTGGTCTTCTTTCCAGTCTCTGTTTTCTCCAATCCATCCTCCACACAGCAGGTAGAATAATCTTCCTAAATCACAAGTCTAAGCATATCATTTCCTCCCTCAAGAACCCTCTGAAGCATGTTATTGCCCACAGGATGCAATCTAAACTCTTGAGCTTGACATTTTAAGCCTCTTACAATCTGGCTTCAATCTTCCTTCCTAGGCTTGTATTCATCATTCCTTTTTATACATTCTAGTTCTAGCCAAAATGGCCTGCTTGCTGTTCCTCAAAATGTGTGTTCTATCTCCCATTGCTGTTCCTTGGAAAGACTGTTCTCCACTTCTGAAGTGTACCACTGCATCCTAGAATCCCTGATTTCCTTTAGGGCTCAATTTTTGTCCCATCACCGAAGAGAAAGCCTTTCTTGACCTCCTCAGTTGTCAGTACTCTCTCCCTCCTCTTCTTCCTCCAATTATTAGGCACATATTTATTTACCTATTTCACCTCCTTCCCAAAAGAATATAAGTTCCCTGATGGTAGGGACCATTTTTTTTTTGTTTTGTTTTGTCTTTGTATCCCCAGTGATTAGCATATTTTTGTTGAATTAGATTGGATATGGAGAATCTATGAAGTTGAGCAGTAGGATAGCACCAACCATATTTATAGGCTCAAAGGCTTATAGATTTAGAATTGGAAGGGTACTTGCAGGTCATCAAGTTCACTCTCCTCATTGTACAGATGAAACTTAGGGTCAGAAAAGTTAAATCACTTCCCCAGAGTTAATCTGCTACTAAGTGTCTTAAACAGGATTCAAACCCTTCAGATTCCAAGCCCAATGGCTCTGCCCATTATATCACACTGCTACTCATTGACTTGTAGTCCAGGCTTCTATTTCTCTATGTGCTATGTTCCAATGTCAGACTTAACATTTCACTCCATCCACCTCAAAATAGAGAAAGAGCAAGAGGACATAGGACAATGCAAACCCATCCTCACCTTAGTAAGGGAAAAGAAAATGATCATACCCAAACAAGTTCAGAAATATACTCACATGCTGTGTTCTCTCCTTATGATGGTGAATCTTATTAGTGTTATTTTTGTAACTTAAAGACACATGGTATATTTTATGAGGAGTAGAAAAGGATGCTATGAAAGGATAAAGATCTTCACTGGACCCATCAGCAGTTAGTAGGGTAGCACTTTGTGGTTCCCAATCACACAGACATTAGTACTGCAGATTACCAAAGGCAGATGCCTACAACCACATAGCCAATCTACTTGTAATGTCTTAAGAAAGCTTTATTGTTAGGTCACAAGAACACAGTAAAGGATCTTCATTTAGCTTCAAGACCCTCTTGGATGGCAAATTGAAATGCAGGAGTATGAGTTACTAATAAAATCATGTTGTTTTGGACTGTATTACCCAGAAGCCCAAAGATCTCTTCATGACTCCACGGCATGCATCATGAAAAAGTCATTTTTCCACATCAACACACTGCATAAGTGGAAAAGAATTAAGACAATTTGTTTCCTATTACTTCAAAGTTGTACTCGGGACAAAATGGCGCAATTATACCCAAACTGATATCACTGTTATTTGCTCATTTCATATAAAATCAGCCTTTTGGAATAATCTTTCTCTTTGCCACAAAAGTGAGGCTTCTCCCCTCCACCATTTCCTTTGGATAGCATGGAGTGGAGCATGAGCTAAACTTTGTTTTTCTAACCACTGTCTTCTGGTTAACTTCCAGAGAACATGTTATCCTATAAGTATGTTGCCATTATTTCTTCAACAAATATCTATTGATCACTCAGCCAACTGGAATAGAAACTTTGATATCACCTTTAATTCTTCTCCATCACTTCTCATAACTTATCAGTCCACAAGTGCTGCTGATGACACCTCTGTAACACTTCTCACATCTGTCACCTCTTCTATTCCCACTGACACTGCCCTGACACAGGCCCTTACTGGCAAACAGGTGTTACTGAAATAGCCTCCTAACTGGTCTTTTTATATCCACTCATATACCATTTATATCCACTCATTTAATCTAGTCTTCATACCACTGTCAAAATAATCCTTTTCAAGCACTGAACTGGTCATAACACTCCTTTACCTACTGTGTAATACATGAACAACTTTCTCTAGCATCAAATGCTTTCTACAACCTGGTACCATCCTATTCTGTCATTTTCTTCCACACACTGCACATGCTTGTCACACCAGACTAATCAATCAAGAAGCATTTGTTAAATGCTCACTATTTCAAGCATACACTAGATGCTGGGGAGACAGATTTATCAGTGAGACTATCCCAACTTCCAAGGAACAGATGGGATGAGGGGAGAATACATGTTCACAGATAAATACATGACATGTGCAAGACACACAGAGTGTGATTTTGAGCAGTGAGATTAGTAGTTAAGGAGAATCAGGAAAGGCCTTTTGAAAATGAACTTGATCTGATCTTTGAAAGGAGCTAAGAATTCCAAGAAGAGAGATAAGGGAGGACAGTATGTCAGGCATGGGGAGGGAGGGTGGCAGGGAGAGGCAGGCTATGCAAAAATATGAAGGCAGAGGGTGAATGTTATATATGAGGAACAGTATGTTGAAGTCAGTATGGCTTGAGTGCAGAGTGTATGATGGAGAGTAATATATAACTAGCCTGGAAAGATAGACTGGAGCCAGATCCAATGGAGCTGTCTACATTTTATTATAGAGGTAAATAATAGGGAACCACCAAAGTTTTTTGATCAGGAAAGTGACATAGTCAAGTCTGCTTTAGGAATAGCATGGCAGCTGTATGAAAGATAGAATTGAGAGAGGAGAAGACTAGATAGATGGTTGCCAAAAAAAAATTCCCACCCACCTACATAGAGTTTTATGATTCAAGGTCAACATTACAAAAGCATAAACAACATAAAATGTAACTCTTAAATCTTTTGGTCCTTCACACTTGACCGGTGCCTCGTCTGTGATCACTAGTGAGTAGTTGGCAAAATAGTACATGATAAAGTTCACTTGGGAGAAGGAAAGTCCTGGAAGAACAAATTTTGGTCCCAGATTCTGAGAGTCAAGTTTGCGACTCTGGCTCTTAACCCAAGGAAGGAAAACCTGAAAGTTTCCCCAAACTGCCCCCCAAATGTTGACACCACTGAAGTGTTGGCTTTTCACTTTTTTTTGTCAAACACCCACAGTGACTCATCCTGCTGGACAGGCAGAGAAACTTTCTGCTGTTGATTCTTCCCCTCTCTGTCTACTAGAGAATGGGTGTCCAAAATAGCTACATACTGCTTAGGGTAGATCAGATACCACTGAGTCAAAACTTACCCTTCTATGGATTCATTGCTCTAAAGCTGTCTTTTATCTTCACAGCCACTGTTTGTATTTTATGAATATGATTTTTGAGATTCAGTGACTTCTTAATAAAAGTCACATATCACATGTATTCTCTGTCCTCCACTATCCTTCCTCTTCCCCTCCTTCCCTCTTCCCTTCCCCTCCACTTGCTTCACTTCTTCTCTCCTTTTTCTCTGTCTCCTCACACCTGTTTTCAAAGCCTTCATGGTAAGGAAATGCTCCTCCCAATGCCCAGAACGTGATGTCTGTCAATGTAACAACAAAGATTACTATATTTTATATTCTACAGGGATCTCTGTTTTATGTAGCACCTTCCCATCACTTATATGATCTTCTCAATGGTTCTTTTCTCCAACAGCATCTAAGCTTTCTGAAGGCAGGAACTGATTAATTTTTGATTGTGTATTGCTAGTGCCAAGCAGAGCAATCCATTAATAAATGCTTACTAAATCACTGAGAGGTAGGAAGGTTATTGTTATTCTCATTTTATAAATGAGGCAAATGAGGCTCTCAGAGTCTAAAAGAGCTGGCCAAGGTCACAAGTTAGACAGGAGGAAAGACTTGTTCTATGAAATTATAGAATCATAGGTCTAGAGGTAGAACAACTTCAGAAACCATCTAATTCAATCTCTTTTTTAAAATAATTTTTCAATTGTTAAATATTTATTTTCTCTCCTGCTCCCTCACCTCCAAGAAAAAAAAAACCCCACTAATAATAATATGCATAGTCAAGCAAAACAAATTCTCACCTTGACTATGGCCAAAAAGATATGTCTAGATCTACATCACCTCTCAGTCAGTAGCTGGGTAGAATTCTTCTAATGTCCCTATTTTACAGAAAAGAAAATTAAGGTCTAGGGGTCCAATGTCACATAGGTAACCAAGGATCACAGGAATATTTGAAACCAGGTCCTCCAACTCCACAATCAGCACTCTTTCCACTGTACCTTCCTGCATAGGCTGGAAATCTTGAGTACTACACCAACTGGTAGTCGCCTGAGATGTGAAAAGTGCTGTCAGTTTAATGCCTACCATAGTAGCCACTTGGAGTTCTTGTTTCCCAATATGCAAGAGGGCTACTTACTGAGTGCAAGCTCTTTAAACTCTGGAAGGCTGGCTGCTGCACAGAGCTGGTAGAAGATGTGGTAATTTCTTTCTTCATCTGCCTGAAGGAGGAAAAAAAAGGAACTTAAGCTGTTTTAGGGGAAGCCACCACCAAGATTCTTCCTTTACCTATTTACCTATGGCACATCAACTGGTGAAGGCAGTCTCCCTCACCTCCTAATCAGCCATTCTCCCCATATTCTACTCTCAGCCCCAAATGGTCCATTCTCCATCAAGGACCCATCTTGTATCCATGACTTGTTAAAACAACTCTATGCATGAAATTAATTTGATTCTCAGCTCTAAAGAGCTCATCACTGCTGTGTAATAAAAGATCATGTTAATCAACATGATAAATTCTTATTGAGTATCTGCCATATGCAAGATACTGTGTATGAAATGGTATAAGGTATAGGAGTCTGTCCATTACCCTCAAATAGCTTATAATTTGGCTGGAGAGAGAAAAGAAAAACACAAGGGAAGTTATTATATGACAAGAACCAAAAGAGAAGCATATAGGATTTCAAATGAGACAAAGATCATCTGGGGCCTGGGAAATCAAAGAAAACTTATTGGAGTTAGTGGAACTGGATATGACTGAAGGGTAGATGGTATTTAGAGAAATAGAATAGAGAGCTAAGGGTTTTCCACAGAGGAATGACATGAAGAGAAGCCCAGCTGCCATAGGGCAGCTGTTCAGGCAACAAGGCAGTCAATTTGGCCAAAGTACAAATAACATTGAATTCATTCCCTCAGCTTCCTCACCCTTCACTTTGTTACCATCGTCTTGCAACCTGGCTCACAAACCCACAACTTAACTCACATTACTCTTCCAGGTACCAAAAGTTCTTTAATTGTTCAATCTAAGTCTATACTCCAAACCCCTACCCCAGCCTTATAATTGTTGACCTTTCTGCAACTTTTGACACTGTTGACTGACTTTTCCTGCATATTCTCCTCCATTGACTTGTCTGATACTGCTCTTGATGGGTTTTTCCTTTGCCTATCAGACTGCTGCTTCTCAGTCTCTTTGCTCAGTCATTGCTTATTCATCCCCAAGCAACAGCCAGGACTGTTTTCTTTTTCTATAGTTTCTCCCCCTGGAGATCTCATCTGCTTGCATGGGTTCAATTGTCATCTCTAAGCAGCTCTAACCACTTTTCTGGATTTCAATATAGATCATTAACTGCCTGATGAACTTCTCTTGGATACTAGTATCTCAAACTCTCATTATCTGCCCTTCAACCAAACCTTCCTATTTCTGCTGAGGACACAAGTATCTTCCTACTAACTCGGATTCATAACTTCAGAATTATCCTCTCTTCCCTCGTGTTCTCACATTAGAGTTCCTTGAAGGAAGGGGCTGTCTTTTGCCCCTTTCTGTTTTCCCAATGCTTACCACAATGACTGGCACATAGTAGAAGCTTAACAAATGTTTATGGACTGACTGACCTTCAATCTCCATATATCCAATCTCCTCCCAAGTCCAGTGAATTCTTTCTTCACAACACTGTTCAAATATTCTCTTTTTTCTTTACCACTCTAATCCAGGTCCTCATCACATCTTTCCTGGACCATTACAGTAGCCTCCTAATGGGTCTCCCTGTTTTTAATCTCTCTCCTCACTTCACTCCGCACATAGCCACTAAGAGGAACTTTCTAATGCACAGGTCATCTCTCTACCTAAATATTTGCAGTATTTTTTCATTGCCAATAGATTAAAAGGCAAACTCCTCAGTCTGTTTGTTGAGGCCCTCCACAATCTGGCTCCAAACTAACTTTTAAGTCCTTATTTTATATTATTCTCCTCAAACCTAGATTTCAGCCAAATGCGATACTAGCTATTTCCCAAAACTCAAGAGGTCATCTCTGCTGATTCCTAAAAGCCATGGATGTCCTGGTGCCCAGAATATAATGCCTCCTCACCTCTGCCTCACAGAGTTTCTGTCTTCTTTCAAGGCTATGCTCAGGTGCCACCTTCTAGGTGAAGTGTTCTCTGACATCTCCAGTTGTTAAAGCATTGTATCCCTAATTTTCCTTGTATTTCCTTATCTGTGACTACATTATATCCATGCCATCACAATGTAAGCTTCCCGAGGAAAGGGATTGTTTGTTTTTTGTCTTTGCACCCTAAAGGCCTTGCCCATAGTAAGTATTTAATAAATGCTGGTGAATGGAATGCTTATTCTGTACAAAACATTGAAATAAATCACTTCCTTTGCAGTACTGATAGACAAAGTTTGTGAACCTGAGACAGAATTAGAACTAAAACAAAAACACTTCTTTTTAAATTCATTAGACATTGTTAGGCATTAATATGGAGTAAGACACCACAAAAAATCAAAATGGGGTAGCTAAATTTTTTTGGAGGCAATTGGGGTTAACTGACTTGCCCAGGGTCACAGAGCTACTAAGTGTCTGAGGTCAGATTTGAATTCAGGTCGTACTGACTCCAGGGCTAATGTTCTATCCACTGTACCACCTAGCTGCCCCCATAACCTCTTTAGAAACTTTTGGAACATCAAGAACTCAGAGAGAAACCTAACTCAGGAAGCTTTGAGGAACATGTGGAATTCAGATTAGCCAGAATATTATCATTTTACAGTGACTATCCATGTATGTAGTTAGTTGGAAGATGGGAATCAAAGGTAAAAACATTAATCAGATGGACTTAAGAAGATCTGAGTTTGAATCCTGCCTCAGACACTTAATAGATGTGTGATCCTAGTCAAGTTACTTAACATCTCTCAGTCTCAGTTTCCTCTTCTATAAAATGTAGAAAATCATAACACCTACCTTACAGGGTTGTTGTTAGAATAAAATGAAATTTATGTGTGTGTAATTACACACATATGTATGTGTATACATGTACATACATATGTAGGTGTGTAGATGTGTGATTTCTATATAAAAAGATAGATATAATGTATAAAATATACACGTACACACACACACACACACACACACACACACACATATATATATACACACAGATGTGTCTCAAATGCGCTTTGCAAACCATAAAGCACTATAAAATTCTAGTGATGAGAATGAGGATGATGATTACAAATCCTATACACTGATTTTAGGGGAATAATAAGCAGTTTTTAAAATTTTTATTTTCCACAATTAGATAAAAATTACTAAGCTATATTTGTTTAACCCCAACCCTGACAGCTGTTTTCCTGCCTGGCCACGCTCAATATCACCTCTCTGCCATGCTTTGCCTGTTATCTCTCCTACTACAGTAGGATCTTTTCTCCCCTCAGTCAAGCTCCATTGCATTTCTAGACCTGCCCCCAAACCTTGAAACAATCCCTTGGAAAAGCTGTCCCACTTCTTACTCATTTCCCTCCCCCAAGTTCTACCCTTGATTGTGATCATAGGACCACGTACTTACAGTCAGAAGGTACCAGTCCAATGCCTTCATTTTACGAAGTTAATTCATGATGATAATAATAATAGCTAACATTTATATAGCACTTACTATGTGCCAGGCACTGTGCTGATTGCTTTACAATTATTATCTCATTTGATCCTCCCAACAACTTCCAGAAATAAGTGCTATTATTACTCCCATTTTACAGATGAGAAAAACAAGGTAAACAGAGGTCAATTGACTCACGCAGGTTCACAAAGCTAGTAAACATTAGAAGTATGATTTGAAAGAACCCACATACACAAAAATATTTATAGCGGCTCTTTTTGTGGTGGCCAAGACTTGAAAATTAAGGGGATGCCCATCAATTGGGGAATGGCTGAACAAGTTGTAGTATATGAATATAATGGAATAATATTGTGCTATAAGAAATGATGAGCAGGCAGACCTCAGAAAACCCTGCAAAAATTTACATGAACTGATGCTGAGTGAAGTGAGCAGAACCAGAAGAACATTGTACACAGTAACAGCCACATTGTGTGATGACTAACTTTAATAGACTCAGCTCTTTTTAGCAATGTAAGTATCCAAGACAACTCTAAAAGACTCATGATAAAAAATGTTATACACATCCAGAAAAAGAACTATGGAGTCTGAATGCAGATGGAAGCATGTTATATTCTCTCTCTCTCTCTCTCTCTCTCTTCTCTGTTTCTTCTTTCTCATGGTTTCTCCCATTGGTTCTAATTCTTCCTTACAACATGAGTAATGTGAATATAGGTTTGATATGAATGTATATGTTGAGCCTATATCAATTTACATACTGTCTTGGGGTGGGAGGAGAGAGATGGGGAGAAAACTTGGAACTCAAAATCTTCTGGAAGTGAATGTTGAAAACTAAACATAAATAAACAAATTTATTATTTAAAAAAAGTGTGATTTGAACCCTGGTCTTCTGACTTCAGATCCAGTTTTCTTTTCATTGTATCATGTGAGTTCCCAAACCAAGGCTTGTATTGATCCCTAACAGCTCTCCCTGCAAATGTGTGTTGGCATCAGAACAGAATATATAGAGAGTTATCACATTCTTCATTCTGTATATTTTATTAGGACAAATGCAGCCTAGTCTAGTATATAATAAAAAGTATCTCACACCTGAAAAGGACCTCTGAAATCATCTAGTTCAAGCGTCTCATTTTGCAGATGAGGAAACTGAAGCCTAGAGAATTGAAGCGATCTGCTGGAGTAATCCACATGGCTGAGCTGGATACTGAACTCAGGTCTTGTGACTCAGTGTTTAGCATCACAAGCTCAGTGCTCCTTCTACCATGCCATAAGGCAAAGGAAGGGAAATAGGAGAGTAGAGCACAGTACATAATAATCACTGTGAAAGCCTGCATTAAGTGCACACTGCTGACAAATGTGCCATGGACACTGCTGGGAAATGAAACCCAAAGACACGAGGGAACAAAGATGCCAACTCCAAGTCTAAGAGATGACAACTCCAAGTCTGAGGTATGCTGGGCAAAAGCCCAAGGAGGAACAATGTCTTTCAGGTCCTCCAGCTGGTCATCTGAGCCTTAGCATATTCTTTGCCCAGAAGAGTTAGAAGTTTATGGGCCAGGCTAGGGGATCTAGAAACAGCCCAGTCTCAAACTCTAGCTGGATCTCCACTGCCAGAAGCAGATTCTGACACCACTGGCACCCATCACGTGCCAGCCTAGCACAGGTGCCTGAGACCTCCATCCCCAAAACACTAGCTACCTGGTTGCTGAAAGCTCCACAAAAAAACCCAGAAAAGAAGTATTAAAAACAAATCCAGCAACCCAAATCCAAGGCATTCTGTGAGCAAAGGGGAAAAGGCTATTTCTGGGAGTGGGAAGGGATAGAAGGGAATTATTTATGGAAAAAATGAATAGGGTAAAAATTTAATTTACTTTTCTAATTTTTTCCAGGGAAGAATGAGAATAAAAAGCAAGAACTTAAGGGAAAAGAGTATGAGATTCACATTTTCCAGGGCCTCATAGGTGCATTGAATCTGGAAGGTGCTTTCTTCCCAAACTCTTTGCTGGGTGGTACAGTGAGAAGAAAATTGGTTCTAGAAACAAAGGACCTTGGGTTGAAATCCCAACTTTGATAGTTAGCATTTATGTAGCCTTACAAAAGTTGTGTCACCTCACTGGGCCTCAGTTTCCTTATCTGTCAAAGAAGAGAATTAAATGAGATGGCCCCTAGAGTCCCTTTCTACTCCATATCTATGGTGCATCTATGATGCCCCACCCTCTAAATCTGGGTATATCCCAAAGCTCTGACCTAGGTCCTCTTTTCTCTGTTATCATATTAACTCCCATGGTCTGATAATCATCTCAATTCTGATGACTATCCACACCTATACATGCATCCTGAGTCTTTCTCCTGAGCTTTAGCCTATCTTCACCTACTACCCTAGAAGACATTTCCCATTGGATGTCCCATAGATATCTCAAACTCAGAAGGTCCTTTTTCCCTGTTGAACTCTCTGCCCACTTTACCTCTCTTCCTGAATATCTATTTCTGTCTAGGGCACCATCATCTGTCCAGTCACCCAGGTCCATGATCTCAGTGTTCCTTGACTCTCATTCTCCATCTTCCCCCGTAACTAACCCATTTATAAATTGTAGCCATGGAATATCCAGTGAAGGTATACTTACTCTGAATCAATCTCTCTCTCTCTCTCTCTCTCTCTCTCTCTCTCTCTCTCTCTCTCTCTCTCTCTCTCTCATTTTCCCTTTGGCAGTCTGCTAAAGCCCATAGACACCTTCTCAGAATAATGTTGTTAAATACATAAGAGACATAGGATTAATAAGGAAACCCATTATATTGAAATGCAATTATCACAATATATTTTAAAAAATAAGTCCATAAACTCCAAATTAAAACTATCTTCTCTATAGAACTAAGAGAACACTCTCCACAGTGACAGCGATGCTGTAATAATAATCAACTGTGAAAGACTAAGCTATTTGGATCAATATAATAATCCACAACAATTCCAAAGAACTCATGATAAAAAAAAAATCTTCCACCACCAGAGAGAGAACTGATGGATCCTGAATGCAGATTGAAGCCTCTCTTTTTCTTTGTTTTTCTTGCTTTCCCGTACCACACCCTTCACATAATTAAGTGGAAATGGTTTGTATGACTTCATATATATAATGAGTACCATATTCCTGGCCTTCTCTAAAGAGTAGGGAAGGGGGTGGATGGAGGGAGAGAATTTGAAACTAAAATTAAACATTTTAAATGGAAAAAAGGAATCTCTGCTCTAAAATATCTCTAATATCTATTCTCTTCTCTCCATTGGCATAGCTACTACCCCAATTTAGTCTCTCAAGACCTATTGTCCAATGTTGCCTACTTGAACTCCTTTTCTCCAGACTCTCTCTTCTCCAATTCATTGTCCAAACAGCTAGCAAAGGAATACTTGTAAAGTATCATCATTTGCCTGCTCACAAAACTCCAGTGGCTCCCTATAGCCTCCAATATAAAGGACAGATAGCTTCTGTTTGGCTTTTAAAGTCCTTCGCAATCTGGCTCCAGCTCACCTTTTCTGGCATACTACACATATCTCTTCTTACTTCATTTTACTTTGCAGGCAAACTGGTCTAACTTACAATGATGTATTCATAGCATTCCATCTCCATTTCCATGCCTTTCTACAGGCTGCTCCGCATTTCAGGAATAAATTTCTTCCCCAACCACCTCACTCTTATAAAAGTTTAGCTTTCTTTAGCACTTAGCGCCATCACGACAGGCCTTTTCTGATTCCCCTAGGTTGCTAGTCACATCCCCTCCAGGAAATTACATTGGGGTGTGTGTGTTTCTGTGTATGGATGGTATACCATGCTAGCTTAATTATAACACTATATATAAAATATTATTCAAATTTTATAAATGAAGAAACTGAGGCACTAGTGAATGTTAGAGGGAATGATTATGCTTCTCCCTTAAGGGAGCTTGTGGCATTTCCTAGTTCTCTTCAGTTCTCTGAATGATCAGTCTCCTCTCTCACTCCTGGGTCTGATTCATTTCCTGGCCTTGCTTAAATAAATGTGCCCCATTATATGTGCCTTAAATGCCACGGTTTGTTCTCATTCTCTCTTTGTCTCTCATAAATATACGTGTGTGTGAATAAAAACACAAAAGTAAAACAATCCCTGCTTCAAGGAGGTTGCATTATGTTGGGAGAAATATAATCACATAAAAGTTTATTTATACAAATACATACACACACACAAACACACATATATATAAACTTTTATGCATATATAAATATATAAACTTATACTTAGCTGTATTTCTCCCAACATAATACAACCTCATTTGGGCAGGGGTTGTTTCTTTTTGTGTTATATCCCCAGCACCCAGAACAAACCTGGTACATAGCAATCTCTTAGTAAATATTCCCTGATTAATTGTATTTAGGGATCTCACTAAAAAAGCCCTAAAGCATCACTCACCTGAAAGACAACTCTGGACTTTTCCAATAGGTAGGTCCTCATGTTGGCCCCAATAATGTGGTGTCTCTTATCAAATCCAATCTGAATGTACTTTCCAAAGCGACTGCTGTTGTCATTTCGAGTGGTTTTAGCATTTCCAATGGCCTGTTTGAAAATAAGATGAACATTTTACAAAAGAAAAAATAAGTTTTACCTGTCTTTGGAGTTGGATGCCATTTTAGAGACATACAATAATATAAGTAACATCTCACATTTATATTATTATTCTTTTCACTTTATAAAAGTGCCTTATTCACAACCCTACCTATGGTTGAAGGTTGTTGTTCATCCTTTGTTCTCAAAGAGGACCATGACATCAGGAAGATGATTCCATGACTTGCAAGTGAATTGGATCGAAGTGAGAGAGGGCTATGCAAGGTCACCAGCCTCACCTTCTCCTCTGGAGCCATACGGATCCAGTGGCAAGATATAAGATCAGGATGACTGGAGATAGACCCATGAAGGTAGTAGTACAATTATTGTTACCCCAATTCACTCAATTTATTTAACATTCATTCAGCAAATACTTATTAGGTATCTACTGTGAGCAGAGCACTGCCCTAAGCACTAGAGAAGATAGATGTAAAGTCAAGGAAACAAGCATCTTATTAAGCACTTAGGGAGGGGAGAGGAGGAATAAGCATTTATGTAGTGCTAACTATGTGGCAGACACTGTGTAATATTTACAAATATTATCGGGGGGGCAGGGCCAATATGGCAGGGTAAAAGCAGGGACTTGCTTGAGCTCTCCCCCAAACCCCTCCAAATACCTGTAAAAATGACTCTAAACAAATTCTAGAGCAGCAGAACCCATAAAAAGACAAAGTAAAATAAATTTCCAGCCCAAGACAATCCAGAAAGTTGATAGGAAAGGTCTGTTGCACTAGGCCGAGAGAGGAGCACAGCCCACTGCAAAACATGCCAGCACAGACTAGGCCCCAGCAAACCCAGACCAGGCTTTAGGGGACTGAATCACTGGCAGGTGTGGCGGTTTCCAGACTTCTCAACCCCACAAACGCCAAAGACATCTTAGAAGGTCAGTAGGAAAGGTCTGTCAGACCTGGGTGAGAGAGGAGCACAGACCTGTCTCAGCCCCAGGGTAGTGGCAGTGGCTGCTTCCAGAGCCCTCAGGCCACATGCGGTAAGGGGATCAAATGATCAGAGGGAGATTACAGGGATCTCTTTGCTAGCACTGAGGCAGGACTCCAGTGCTTTGCGCATACTTGGATCTGGGTGGCAGTCCTAGGGTGAGTAGGAGCACTGGCATAGCAGAGCTCTTAGCAGCAGTGCAGAGGGGACCCCCCCCCCCTCACAGTTTCAGGGCAGAAAAGAGTGCTTGTGGTCACTCACAGACCAGAGTACAGGCCAGGAGAGGAGTAAACACCTCTCCTTAGATCATACCACCTTGAAAACTTATAGGTCCCTAAAAGTATCTCTGAAAACTGCTGCACAAAATCCCTGAAACTTGGGATAGTACACCCTCCACACTGGGAACAGAGCCCTACCTTAATAAAGAGTTAAAAAGTCAAATAATTGGCTGGGAAAATGACCAAATAGCAGAAAAAATTCAGACTATAGAAACTTACTTTGGTGAAAAGGAAGATCAAAATATACAAACAGAAGACAACAAAGTCAAAGCTCCTACATCCAAAGCCTCCAAGAAAAATATGAATTGGTCTCAGGCCATGAAGGAGCTCAAAAAGAATTTTGAAAATCAAGTAAGAGAAGTAGAAAAAAAGTTGAGAAAAGAAATTAGAATGATGCAAGAAAATATGAAAAATGAGTCAGGCAGCTTGCTAAAGCAACCCAAAAAATACTGAAGAAAATAACACCTTAAAAAATAGAGTAGACCAAATGGCAAAAGAGGACCAAAAAGCCAATGAGAAGAATGCCTTAAAAAGCATAATTGGCCAAATGGAAAAGGAATTGCAAAAGCACACTGAAGAAAATAATTCCTTAAAAATTAGAATGGAGCAAATGGAAGCTAATGACTCTATGAGAAATCAAGAAATTATAAAACAAAACCAAAAGAATGGAAAAATAAAAGACAATGTGAAACATCTCATTCAAAAAACAATTGCCCTGGAAAATAGATCCAGGAGAGAGAATTTAAAAATCATTGGACTACCTGAAAGCCATGCTTCAAAAATGAGCCTAGACATCACCTTTCAAGAAATTATCAAGGAAAACTGTCCTGATATTCTAGAACCAGAGGGTAAAATAGAAATTGAAAGAATCTACCTGTCACCTCCTGAAAGAGATCCCAAAAGGAAAACTCCCAAGAATATTACAGCCAAATTCCAGAGTTCTCAGGTCAAGGAGAAAAAATTGCAAGCAGCCAGAAAGAAACAATTCAAATATTGTGGAAACACAGTCAGGATAACACAAGATTTAGCAGCTTCTACATTAAGAGACTGGAGAGCTTGGAATATGATATTCCTGAGGTCAAAGGAGTTAGGATTGAAACCAAGAATCACCTACCTGGCAAAACTGAGTGTAATCAATGAGGGGGGAAAATTGATATTCAGTGGTGTAGAGGAATTTAATATATTCTTGAGAAGCCAAAGCTAACCAGAAAAACTGATTTTCAAATACAAGATTCAAGAGAAGCATGAAAAGGTAAACAGGAAAGAGAAATCATAAAGGGCTTATTAAAGTTGGTCTGTTTACATTCCTAGATGGAAAGATGATATTTGTAACTCATGAGGTCTTTCTCATTATTAGGGTAGTTGGAGAGAATATGTATAGACATAGGGCATAGGGTGAATTGAATATGAAGGGATGATATCTAAAAAAAAATTAAGGGGTGAGAGAGGAATGTACTGGGAGAAAGAGAAAGGGAGAGGTAGAATGGGGTAAATTATCTCACATAAAAGAGGCAAGAAAAAGCTTTCACAGTGGAGAGGAAGGGGGGGAGGTGAGAGGGAATGAGTGAACTTTACTCTTATCAGATTTGGCTTAAGGAAGGAATAACACACACACTCAATTGGGTAAGGAAATTTATCTTATCCTACAGTAAAGTAGGTAGAAAGGGAATGGGGAGGGTGATAGAAAGAAGGGCAGATTGGGGAGGGGGTAATCAGAAGCAAACATTTTTGAGGAGGGACAGGGTCAAAGGAGAAAATAGAATAAATGGGGGGTGGGATAGCAAGGAGGGAAATAGTCTTTCATGACATGACTATTATGGAAGTGTTTACATGACTACACACACACACACACACACACACACACACACACACATCGAATTGCTTGCCTTCTCAATGAGGATTGGTGGGGAGGGAGGAGAGGAGAGAATTGGGGAGGGGGGAGGGGAGAAAATTTGGAACTCAAAGTTTTAAAAATGAATGTTAAAAATTGTCTTTACATGCAACTGGGAATTAAGATACACAAGCAATGGGGTATAGAAATTTATCTTATGCTATGGGAAAAGAGAAGGAGAAGGGGATATGAGAAGTAGGGGGGTGATAGAAGGGAGGGCAGATTGGGGGAAGGGGTAATCAGCATGCATGCCATCTTGGGGTTGGGGTAGGGGAGAGATGGTGAGAAAATTTGGAACTCAAAATCTTGTGTCAGTGAATGTTGAAAACTAAGATTAAATTAATTAAAAATATTATCTAACTGACCCTCACAACGAGCCTGGAAGGTAGGTGCTATTATTATCCCCATTTTCCAGTTAAGGTCCCTGAAGCATATAAAGGTAAATTACTTGCCCAAGGTCACACAGCTAGTAAGTGTTTGAGGCTGGGTTTGAACTCAGCTCTTCCTGACTCCCTGCACAGGGCTCTAGCTACTGTACCACTAGCTCCTTATTCTGTACCAGATACTGAACTAAGTTCTGCAAAGTTTAGATTAGATATAATATAAAGTTTAGATGAGACACTATCCCTGCCAATGTGGAGTTTACTTACAAAGAGGCTCAGAAATGTTCACTGACTTGCCCAAAGTCACAGGGCTCCTGAAGAATGGGTTCAGGACTGGAACCAAGGTAGATGACCAAGCCCACTGCTCTTTCCACTGGACTACACTCCCTCTTAATATCACCCTGTCCAATTCATCTACAAAGACTTCCTGAAAGTAGGCCAGAAAAGTACAAAACGCTATCAGCATTGTGCGCATTTCCCTCTACCTTTCATCACTGCCCACATGCCCCTTGTCAGTCAAATAAATTTGTAATGCCAAGAACTCAGGAAAGAAAACCCATCAAGATCCTTTCTTGGGCACTGATAACTGTAGATCAAAGTACTGGGCACTGATGAAAAATGAATGGTGAAGTGAGCAGGCTCGCTTCTTGAAGATTCACAGGTGACACAACGTGCTAAGGAAAGAGAATTCCACCAGAATCATGAAGAACATTTTAATACTTTCATATCTTTTCTTCCTAATGTGATGAGATTTAAAGATCATTGTTGTTCAGTCATCACTCTTCGTGACCTCATTTGGGGTTTTCTTGGCAAAGAAACTGCAGTGGTTTGCCATTTCCTTCTCCAGCTCATTTGATAGATGAGGAAATTGAGACAAACAGGGTTAGGTGACTTGCCCAGGGTCACAGTGTCTGAGGCCAGATTTGAACTCAGTAAGATGAGTCTTCCTGACTCAAGGCACTCTATCCACTGTACCATCTAGCTGTCCTTTTTAAAGATAGGAATTCAACAAAAAAGATGACTGAAGAAGAAATAGGATGTTATAGGCAAAAGGAACAGTACTGAACATAGGTGAATAGGTTGGTACCTTTGTCAGAATGGCTTAGAAATATCACAGGGTTAACTCAATAACTAAACATAAATAACTATAGTTTAAAACATCAAAGATGGTGACAGATATTCATTACCTCTTTTTTTTTTTAAAAGAGAGCAAATATTATGCTTTAATCTGCATTCAGACTCCGTAGTTCTTTCTCTGGATGTAGATAGCACTTTCCATCATGAGTCTTTTGGAATTGTCTTGGATCATTGTATTGCTGAGAAAAGCTAAGTCCACCAAAGTCAGTCATCACATGATGTGACCGTTACTGTGTACAGTGTTCTCCTGGTTCTGCTCATTTCACTCAGCATCAGTTCATGTAAGTCCTTCCAGGTTTTTCTGAAGTCTGCTTGCTCATCCTTTCT